AATTTAGCGCATTCAGAGGCGAAGAAGTTCGGAGCTCGGCTTCAGTTGTGACGTAGGCGGGTAGGCGGTTGTATATCCTGACCTTCAAGACGTTTTGATTCTCTGCGCACGGAGGATGTTGAGTAGCTTCCAGTAAATTTGATATTTTCTGCCAACCCCTCGTCGATCCTCGTGGTGATTGCCTGACAGCATTGTAGGAGACCTGAGCTGCGGATAAAGCCCTGCTCAGATCCATTTGTCACCGCAAAAGGTTTCTGCCGTTGGTCCATTATTCGCGACGTGTCCTATCTGGCCGTCAATGCTTACCACCATTTTAGCTACTTATGACGAAAGAAACGCTGAAAAACGTTTTACAGCCATCTTGGTCAAAATGTGCCCATGCTTCTGAGAATATGAGAGGAGGCAGAGCAATATCATTAGCTTTCTTGCGTTTATAAAATATCAGTTACGATTCCCACAAAGTGAGGGCTTCGAAGAGCGTTATTATTTTCTAAATAACTCGCATCTTTTATCCTTCGTAAGCATTTTATAGGCATTCGCTTTTCTGTTTTCTTGGCATCCTTTGTTCCCAGAGTCGGGACGACGACAATGGACTGGTCTCTCTGTTCTCTCCGAGATCTACCTGTGTTACTAGAGCACGGCATGGGTTCTTGTCTTCACGACTCACCTCTGGACGGTCACACCTCCCTACTTCATGCATCCATGACAGGATCGCAGCCAGCTAGCGTTGTCCGTGTCTTCAATGGGGATCAGTTGAGGCCGGGCAAGGTGCCTGAACCGCGGCGCACGACACCAACCCAGATCACGGAATCACTTTGTGGTAACGGGAAACTGGATCCCGGTGAGGAGTGTGACTGCGGCACCAGGTATTGGCTGTCTCATTGAACCATCTTACCTTTTTTGACATTGCGGGCTTCCTCTCTCGAAATCTCTCTTCTCGCCTTGTTTCCGCATGTTCCAAAGTTTAACAGGGGTGGCAAAAGCTTGTAGAGGAAACGCCTAAAAGCACTAGTTTCTTTTTAAACCGATTGTTTGCAGATCACTGTTTTGGCTACCCTGTGCGTTTGGTTGTTATTCGCGGAATCTCCATGAGCCCGGAATATCGAAGTCTGTATTTTGCGGTTGCATTAAG